AATGATTGTTTATTCTTTATGAATATTTTTTTAGCAGGGTGTTTCAGACTTTTTTATGGCAATGAGCCCTAAACAACACCCTAGTGAGATTCTTTATTTAGGCTTATAATACAATAAAATATAGGCCTATAACTTAAACAATATCTTTGTGAGATTCTTTATTTAGGGTTATAATATAATACAATGTAGGCCTAATATAATATAATATTTTTTAAAAAGAATTGAAGTATTTGACGTGACATAATATATCACTTTAAATGCTTCATTTTTTTTACATATTATATTATTATAATATGGAAACAAACTAAAGCATTTAAATAGATCTAATAGCTAAATATTTCAAGAAAAGTGAATATGTGAACTCATTAATAGTAATCTAACCATACATAAAACTCCCATCTTCACCATTCTGTGACATCTTCAGAAAGACATCTTCGGCATTCTGTGTCCATCAGCCTGTGTTTCCAGCACTTTAATCAAACCACTCTTCTTTAAAACATTATGATGTGATTTTATTTCACAGATCTTTTTGTTTCTTGTTGCCTCTCATTTTGAGCTAAGTAGTAGGCTATGAATAATAACAAAAACATGTCATATAAATGTCATTATTTTTATTTTTCATGTTCCAGTATTACTTTAAATTGGACAAAGACTAGCAAGACTTAACTTGCAGGGAGGTTTTTAATACTCTGAGTATGAACTTTTTTTTTTTTTACATTAATATTGCTATAGAAAACTGTTAATCCACTTTATTGTTCCAGATTTTTTATTTTCACATTAGCTTACTTTAAATAGGACAAAGACTGGCAACACTTACCTAGCAAGATAGGTAAAAACAGCATTTGTAAATAAGTAAAAACTGTAAATATTGTCATAAATAAAGTCTTACGATGCAAGTTGTAGTTTGTGATCCTTCAAATGTTGTGTGGTTTAAATGTGGCCCCCTTGGCATCTGCTCTATATGATGTGACTTGACTTGGAAATATAAACACATTTTGACTCTTATTGCAAGATGCCAGATCCCAGATGCTGTCAAATGTCTCGAACCAATCCAGTTCGGTTCCTGTTCACATATCTGCATCTGGTTAGCGTTGTATTGATCCTGTGAGATGGAGATTACTTCTGACCCTCTAATTAACCTCTTAATCCTCCGTCCTGCCCTATTCACAGCCCTGTTGGTTTTATGGGTTAGGATTTAAAGCAGGGGTGACAACCCTTTTGGACAGTTAGTGGAAACTTAAACATATGTGACTGTAGGTGCAGGTACATATCGTTTTGAAAAGACACAATATGTTTTTTATCAGGTTGAAACTGGTCTAAATTGCACAATTATGGGATCGTGAACAATAGATTTATTTGGTTGGAAAATGTGATAGCCTCTACAAAACTCATTAGAGAGTATATGTAGGAGATGCTGGTCATGCAAAGCTTGTGGATACAATTGAGATGTCGAGAGTGGTGTCGTATAGTGCCACAGACGTCTTGAGGACTGATGGTTTTTAGTGTCTCGCTCTCTTATAAGAGCAATCGTCTGCTGGAGCATTGGTGTGCCATCCGTTTTCAGTGCAGTTAACTATATGTGCTCATTATGCTTATGATAAAGAGAATGAATTAGAATGATATAAGCATAATCAAGTGTTTTTGTAACCAATAATATAACTGAAAGCAGCTGACAATTAAAAAAACATACGCTGGATAGGAACTGTAAGACTGTTGCATAAAGAGATGACACTATAACAAGCTATATCACACAAATATTTGGCAAATATATATTTTTGCTAACACTTCATTTTGATGGTCCCTTTTGAATGTACAGTTGACTGTAAGTAACTTTGCAACTATATGTCAACTAACTCTCATGCTTAATATCTGCAAACACTTTATTGTGATGCTCCTCCAACAGACAATCTTCTGACTTACTAATTTTGCACCTTAATCTAACCCTAACCCTACCAGGCTATTAATGCTCAGCTAACCCTCTAATGAGAGTTAGGAGACATTACTTATAGTCAACAGAATATGTTAAAGGGACCATCAAAATAAAGTGAAACCCTTTTTTTATATTTATATTGAACTTCACATATTTTTATTCACACTTGACAGTATTAATGAAATCATATGAATGAGAAATTACTCAGTTTAGCTTGTCACATTGCCTTCTGGGTGATTTTGGGTAAATTAAGGTAATGTATAAGGCAGCATCATTTTGCAGTCTGTGTTTAAGAACAGGCTTGATGTCGGGAATATGCTTGCGGTCCCTTAAAATGCTGTCTAGAAAGGTGGCTCACTAGGATTTGGAAAAGAGCTTATGGTTTAGGCAATATGTAGCAACACCAGTTGCTTTCTTGCAGTTGAAACGTTTTTTTTTTTTTTATTACCAGCCTTTTTTTTCCAGTAGGCTGAATGAAAATATTCCATAAGCAGTACTAACCTGATGCTGGTTTTCATTTGCTGCAGATTACGAAATTAAGATGATTAGTTAATTGATCAGTGCCCTTGATTTACTCTAAGCACAGGCTAAATTATGTCTAGATCAGTACCATATTGATCAGTTATGTCTAGATCACTAATAGTATTGATCAAGGCCAAGGCTAGCCAGTGACAGCTTGTAGGTATGGCAGGCTTGATACTCTTGAGTCATTATGAGTCCCTCGCTGTGGGTCTTTTGTCTTCTTTGTGTTGTTGAGAGTCATTGGTGAGGTTGGGGAGTCTTCTAGGGATGAGACGGTATTGTTTTGGTCTTTCCCTCAGCTCACCCTGGCTGTGTGTTTAAGGTGGCCTCAGCGAAGCTCACTGCTCAGGTAACGCTAGGGACATCTGGCTCAGGAAGCCATGTCAACCCAGGCCCTATCCCCAGTGCTATGAGGGCCACCATCCGAAAACTGTACATGACCAGCCTTGAACCCCGAGACCTCAAGTGATCGATCCAGGAGGGAATAAATTGGTTGAAAACTCACTAGTAGGTGCATAATCACGCAGACCTACCAAACCGAACACACACTTCCTACATAAGACCAAGAGAGGGTTTCGCTAGGGTAATGGAGTTGTTTTGGAAAACATAGCAAGTCAAGTTCTCATGTTCTTGATTACTGGGCACTTTTAGGATCATCTTTGAGGTTTTGAGGAGGCTACGGAAAAGATTGTGGGAGTACTTTACTTTGAATCTAGGAGAGTTAATCTTGGTAAGTTCATCATTTTTCACTGAACTTTTTCAGAATGAGTTTCCTGTTTTATGTTACGATAACCTAGAACTGCAGACCAAAACAACTGTATGTGTGTGTTTCGAGGTGTTGGTACAGTCATGGATATTTTTAAGTACTGGGCATAACATCCTTTACAATTGGATAATGATTATATGCAATTAGGTGACAATGCCAAAGGGCTGTGAAAGGGCACTGGCTCTAATCTGGATTGCTAGATTTTTAATACAATTCACCAATCAAGATCTAGAGCTGTTTAACTATTTCCACTATTTCAAATGTATCGATTAAGGATTTCATTAAAGCATTGGTGCTTTTAAAGACTTCTTACCTGATTTTTTTTTATCTTTTCTGGTTTTCTTTAATGTATTTTATATCGTATCGTAACGTAGATGTATTTTGTATATTTTAATTTGCACAGTGGAAATATATTAATATTTCAAAATAACGATATTCCCCAACCCAATTTGGAGGTTCTGGCTTGTTTACGAAGACCGGCAGATTGTTCAAATGTTTGCTAATTTGTCTGAATGTTGTTTTTGGCGGTTAAAGTCTTTATGAAATCCCTGTAAAGATTAAGCTTATGTGAGACAGTCACCTCATCAAAGAGTTAAACTGGTATCAGGCTCTTTTGTAGAGGGGCTTTGCCTCAGGAGCCTTTGCTAAAAACAGCTGTTACCTGCTGGTCACTTTGGCTGTCTTAACTCTAAGCGTCATAGCCCAGTTTCCACCTCAGAGTTCATTTGATATTTTGCACAGTTTTATTTATGTTCCTGAAGCTATTATAGAGACCGCAGTAGTTATACTGATGCGACAGTATCTCGATTGAAGCTTAGGAGAGTGACATTTTTTTTTATTGTAGACTTTCCTTTTTATACTCCATGTTAAAATAATTTGAATGTATTTCAAGTTATATAGAAGTTACATTTGTATTAAAATTACAACAGAATATGTTAACCTAATTTTTGAAATTATAAAGCAAATATGTAAATGCACAGTGGTCCAGTCCAGTATACTTCAACTCAGCACATCTTCTATCTTCTCTGCTAATAAACAGAAAGCCACAGATGATGTCCATAGATTTGAACTTGTATATAACTTAAAATATTATTTTTAAGTTTAGTACTAACTAACTAACTTACTAAAACTTTTAAACGTATAATATATGGTTATTTGAATTTAGGAGATGAAAGAGGACAAGAGGAATACAATTACCATATGCAATATTTCTTGAACAGAAAATAGTCAATTCTGTAATTAAAATAGACCTCATCTGAAGCAATTCTTTATTTTTTAAATTTTTTTTCTGTAGGACACTATCAGACAGACTGATGGTAAAACAGGTCCAAATTGTATTCATTATGTGGTTATTTCTATGAAGTTATCTATAAGTAAATGCCGGCTGAAGCCCTCACATGTGTCACGAGTCATTGCACGGCTTCATTTAGGATTAGGACAAATAACAATCAATATGACTGATCGCAGCTTAAGATCAGTGCGTAAAACGTCTCATATTTGAAATCAATAAACTTTGACTTTTGGGATTGTGATTGTACTAATCTTACCATTTTAGTAACGCATGGTCTGATGGCAAATCTAACATGATCCGCTCAGTTGAACGGGTTGTCATGTACGACTTGTGTTCCTGTCTGAGGATGTGTCACCCCAGCTCTTGGATTTGTCCGGTGTCAGATTAAGAGAGCGTGCTCAAAATCTTTCGCCCAATTTGGCAGGGCGAGGGGCAAGTGGGGCGGGTGGATTCTCCATATATAAGAGCCGATGTCCTACAGACACTTTTCACGTAGTGTGTTTCGTGGCTTCATGTCAACTCTGAAATCTGCACGCACGTCAGTGCGACCGCCAATTGACCTTTTTTTTTAATGTACATTAACTGCACCGGTTTTGTTGCATTGACTTTTTAAATTTTAAATTTTTGTGTGTGTGTGGTTGTGCCTTTGAAGATCTTCATAATGAATTACTGCATGTCAGACATGTATGACATAGGCCACGGTGTGAATGGGGGATATGCAGTGCCGCCCGGAGGTGAGTACTGCATGTATGGTGGAGAAGGGCCTGGTTTCACTCACTGTGAGCCACAGCCGTTACACCACCATCCTCCCAGCATGGAGCAGGCCTGGCCGCCCAGCCAACCCTACGGGTGCCCTTTCAATGGGGCCAACCCTGTGTTCAAGAGTGAGTTGTGCTCCATGGAGGTGCCTCTCAGTCACTACCACCAGCCAGACTACTACTCTGATGGCAGGCCAGACTTGTCTCAGATGCAGTGGATGCAGGGGCCTCACAGGAAAGGTATCGCAAGCTCTAGAAAAAGCATAGAGGTGTACCAAAGTTTTGTCTTTTCTTTTTTTGATTGATTTTTTTAAGGTGGCTGACTGTTTGCAAACATATGTGTACACGTGTAGTAATATCTCAGTCCAAAAAGTTCTGTGTTTAAACTTGGATGTGCTCGGTTGAGATCTGATTAACAATATTTTGACTTATGACTAAAATAGTGGTGGTGTTGTTGGTGGTGGTGGTGGTTTTTTTTCTGATATTTGAGGACTGATTCAAAATGTTTTAGTTCGTATTTCAATATGTTCTATAATCAACATCCATTTGTGCCAGTTACAAAACTTAATCAATCTGAGCAAGTATTGGAAAAGCTGCAGTCATTATAGTAGTAAACTGAACTTCAGTGCCTCTTTCAAAGACCTGTTCAGGGAGCTCGTTTGGCATTGTGTAGTGTATTGATCTTCAGAGTTGGATGGAGGTTTGCAGTATGTTGTATTGATTTGTAAGGACACAGACAGAGGAACAGAAGGTTTGAGCTCCTGTCCTGCCTCATCAAAAGACTTATTGATCACTTATTTATTGCTGAGCTGCTGCAAGCTGCCTGTGTGTCTTAAAACTTGTTTTGTTGTTGTTGTTGTTGGGTTTTTGCCTCTATATAAGAACATTCTGATAAAATATTTTCTTCTTCCTTCTATTCTTTCTCACATGACTCACAATCCCTCTTATGTTTTTCTATTTTGAGTTTTTTCACAAAACTCAGCATATCTCAATTAATTATTTTATTTCATTTATATATATATTTATATTCATTTTTAAGATAAGATAACTTAAATAAGACTACATGTGAAGATAAAGATAAGATAACAAGACTAAATGTGTGTATTTTGTAAAATTGTTTTGTTCTGTATCTTGAGCTTTAGAGCTGTTTTTATAACTTTTTAAAATATTGTATGCTGATATTTCAATATTGGCTTATTTTAATCAAATGTGTACATTACTGTACGTACTTGTAACTGTTTGTAGGGTACATACCAAGTTACCTGGACAAGGATGAGCTGTGTGTTGTGTGTGGGGACAAAGCAACTGGCTACCATTACCGATGCATCACCTGTGAGGGCTGCAAAGTGAGTGTTTCCAATGTATTTTAGCCGTTCTGTTCTCTTAGAAAGGCACACAGTGCATTAATGACACGTTTTATTAATACACATCACACTTTGTTTACACACTACTTCGTTATGATATTTATAAGAAGGGCCATGCTCAGCAATTAAAACTGAAATCTTGTTTTTAAGGGGTTTTTTCGACGCACAATTCAGAAGAACTTAAACCCAACATATGCTTGCAAGTACGAGGGAAAGTGCGTCATTGACAAAGTCACCCGCAACCAGTGCCAAGAATGTCGCTTCAAGAAATGCATTGCTGTCGGCATGGCAACAGACTGTGAGTGTCCTAAAGTCAAATACACTTGTTGAATCGCCTTGTGGCCCGGTTAATGAAACGATGATCAGCCTTCGTTGTTCCTCCAGTGGTGTTGGATGACAGTAAGCGTCTAGCCAAGCGGAAGCTGATCGAGGAGAACCGAGAACGGCGGCGGCGCGAGGAGATGCAGAAGACGGTGTGGGACCGGCCGGAGCCCACGCAGGAGGAGTGGGAGCTGATCCGGGTTGTCACAGAGGCGCATATGGCCACAAACGCTCAAGGCAATCACTGGAAACAGAAGCGTAAATTCCTGGTGAGAGGTCTCTTCCCTGATGACCGCATCAGTGACGTATCTTGTGTTTTAGGATGGGTTTTGGTTGTTTGTTTTGGGTGCGATTATATTTTTCTTTCTTTTTTTTTTTACCCTACCACAACCTCAGATTCCCCTTGTCAACCCTTCCTGCACAATTCCCAAGCCCTTCCCCACCGCTGTTCCCATTGTTAATATGTCCATGTTTTTGTCTCTCCTTGTAGAGTGGGCAGTGTTAGATGGACGCTGGAGAATCTCTACCACAAAGGCAGCAGCACTAACTTTAATGGAACACCTTTGTCCTTCTTTCCCAAACCCAAAACTGTTCTCTCATGTTTGTTTCTTTTCTGATATTCTTTTTCTAACCAAGTTTCTAATGGTTAAATGACTGTTCTTTTCTCTTGAATCTAATGGTCCTCTCCAGAATGAAGTTCTGTTTGAGGACTTTTAACACTGCTGTGGCTTTCCATGGGAAGTTTTGCATTTGGCAATTACGTTTACCTCAAAGTACGTCATTCCACTAGTTTCTTAATTCTGTTGGTTACAGCATTAAGATTTCATATTTAAAGGTGAAGTGACGTGTGTATTTTCTGTCACTAGAATTGTGGAAATTGTAAACGTCAGTAGGAGTGTTGGCAAGGTCAATTCAATTCTGTCTGATCAGAGATTTCTTTGCATTACTCAAAAATGTTCTTTGAGGTAAAAAAAAAACTGAAGTAGTAAGTAAATAGTACTGCTTATTATGTTGTATATTTATGCATATAAATACATTTTTACTTTTAGTTCTTGCACTAAACGTTTTGAATTTGTAGCAAAAGTGGGCCTCATTCATAAAACACAGAGTGAATTTCTATGTAAACTGTTCATTGATAAAAAGTTTTACTATGGCCAATTTGCCGTAAATGTTTTTGTAATTTGAATCCTAAATTTCCGTCTGCAGTTATTTTATAATAATATAAAATGATCATTTTAAAGCCTCGAAATCCATGGAAACTCACACGAACTCACTATCTCACTGTCATTTTCTGTCTGCACTCTCACCTGTCCAGTTTAAACTTGTTCTTTTTAGTTGACTTGACTCGGGTTCTTCATTGAAACTTCACGATCCCTGTTGATTGCCCAACAGGTCGAGGAAGCAATGCTACTTAATGAAATAACATGTAATTTATTCTGTACTTCTGACCAGAGTGCAGTGGGGGTGAAGGAAGCAAAGGTAAGAACCAGCAGAGCAAACACATATATTTATGTTTTTATCCAAAAGAGCGCTCTCTCAAATTCTCAGCTGCTTCCATTTCTGTCACGTTTTTTTTTTTTTTTTTTTTTTTTTTGATAAATTGACATGCTGAATGCTTGAGCCATTTGTTTGGGGTGTTTATGTAGCTCACTGTGTCAGAATGAAGGTGTACACAGAAGAGGAAAGCGGAATAATTGCCTAATAAAGCGGTTTGGTGCTGTACTCGGCCCCCAACTTTCTTCTCAGTCTGGCTTTTTTTTTTTTGCTCTGTCTTTCACATCACAATTTTCTGGTCAGAAGGTCACAAATCGTTTAAAAAAATAAAAATAAAAATCCAAATATCAGTGGATAACCCTAGTCAATGAGCTCCCCAGCAGAAGGAGAAGACGCTTCTCTCCTCTGATAGTCTAGTTTAAGTTTCTCATCTTTCCTCTTTTCCCCCTTAATAACTGGGCTTTACTCTTGTTTCATTGACATGTCTTGCTGTAACTCTGGCCTTCTTTGTGCTTTAGAGGGGAATGAGGATTTGCTGTGTCATACCGTCGTCTCTGTGAATGTCCGTTTCCTATAAGTGCCCGTGTTACTGAGCACGCGACCTCTCCCCTTCCTCTCGTTTCAGCCGGAGGACATCGGTTCGGCACCCATCGTCAACGCACCAGAAGGGAGCAAAGTGGACATAGAAGCCTTCAGTCAATTTACAAAAATTATCACCCCCGCAATTACTCGTGTCGTAGATTTTGCCAAAAAGCTGCCCATGTTCTGCGAGGTAAGAAACTTGTTGATGTTAGAATTTAACGATGAGATCAAATGAATCCAGTTTGAAGCTTGGCAGTGACCAGTGTTTGGATACAAAACAATACGTAGTATGACTGTGATTATTGTGTAATTGTTCAGCTGCCTTGTGAGGACCAGATCATTTTGCTGAAGGGTTGCTGTATGGAGATCATGTCTCTGCGAGCGGCGGTGCGCTATGATCCAGAGAGTGAGACCCTAACGCTGAATGGGGAGATGGCCGTCACACGAGGCCAGCTCAAGAACGGGGGTCTGGGTGTGGTCTCGGATGCCATTTTTGATCTGGGTGTGTCGCTGTCCTCCTTCAACCTCGACGATTCGGAGGTGGCATTGCTCCAAGCCGTGATTCTGCTTTCCTCTGGTTAGTGCCATCTTCGTTTCTCAAATTTAATCATATATATTCATTCTTGTTCTCATCCATCACATTGTGGTAAAGTGTGTACACACACACACACACACACACAAAAATTGCAAATATTGCACAAAATGTCCTCTCTGTGCAACAACATAAAAACAAGGAATGCAAAAAGTGCTGGGCGGGGTGCAAATTTTAGGATCCAGTGCTAGGGATGGTTCAGCTCATAAAAAAACAAAAACACTCAAGTAAACATAGTAAAAACACTCCAATCGCAGTAAAGAAAAAAGTCGTTCAGAAAGCATCTTAACCCTTAAAAGAGGTCTTAAGGTGTTCTTAGCCACCCAGCCAAATTAGAATGATAACAAAAGCCGACAAGTACATAAATAAGCTATCAAAATCTTGAAAAAATGAGCAGTATTCTCTGTTCTGAAACGCTGGGGGCGTGTCTGCTGGCTGCGCTGAAACCACGCCCACTCGCGGGAAAGCTGCCGACGGTGATGTTAGCTGATACTGCTTTCGGGACGGGAGGATGAACGCTGAGGCGGCAGATAGTCGTTTCGGGCCCGTTCACCAGTAAGAGCGGATTATCAGTGAATCCGTTGTCTCCGACGAAAGTTTATAAAACGATCCTGTGTAAAATGATCACTAACAGAGGCGGGTGTTGGCGGTGATCCTCAGCTCTTCATCAAGGTTGGCTCCACACAAAATTAATCCACCTCTCCTTGATGTGATCGTTCTTAGGAAATTTAAATAAACACACCGATCTGTTTAGTATCATCCAGGTAGTAGCCTATGCATTTCCGTGTCGAAGGCATAGCTAGCTGGAAAACTGTTGGCTGTCATCTGTTCAATCATCAATCATCTGTTCTCTGTTTTTCGGCAGATCGTCCAGGTTTAACGAGCGTAGAGCGGATAGAGCGTTGTCAGGAGGAGTTCCTCTTGGCCTTTGAACATTACATTAACTACCGTAAGCACAAGGTGGCTCACTTCTGGCCCAAGCTGCTGATGAAGGTGACGGACCTGCGCATGATCGGTGCCTGCCATGCCAGCCGTTTCCTGCACATGAAGGTGGAGTGTCCCACGGAGCTCTTCCCACCGCTCTTCCTGGAAGTGTTCGAGGACTGATGGCCAACCAGTCAGGTCAAGCTGCTCCCACCAACACCAACCTCCACAAATCCGACCTCCTCTAACTCTGTGTCTCTGTTCCCGGTCACGATGAGCATCATTCTGTTCCTTAGTTTTAGGAGGAGCTCTCGGGCCTCGTTTCAATGGAACCATTCCTTTTACAAAGCGGGTACACGTGAATTGCGTTACAGTTTGTTTTCTTTCACTCTTTGTTTGTAAAAAAAAAAAAAAAGAAAGAAAAAAAAACCTTTGTTACTCGATCTTGTTTTTTCAATGATAAATTGTTTTATTTCTGATCATAGTCTTTGATGCCATTTATGTGACATGTATTAACTATGCATTTGGGTTTCATGTCACATCAAGAAAAAAAGACAAATAGCACCACACTGTAAAGGGGCATAGCAATACCTTTTTTTCCTTTCACTTCCCTTATCTGTTGGTTGAAAGGTCTTTTCATGCTCACATTAAGACATGGGTTGGTAATAGTTCTGTTCTAAAACCCAATGAGCTGCCTGCCTTGGCAACATTTCCCTAGACTTTCCAAAAGCAAAATCACGTCTCTTTAATATTCCAATTGTTTGTCCTAGAAAAGATCACTAAATGCTACGCTAAAGACATTTGGTAAGGGTTAGAAGAATGAAGACCTAGTGATCTGCTGCTATCCACATTCGTTTTATAGCTCCGTACGCTTACATTATCAGTAATTTGTGTCTAAAACATTTTTTTACGTGAAACTTGTTTAAACCACTAAGAATTCCAAAGAGCACATTCGGAGCAATAAAATGGTAATGTGGTCAGACAGGAGACAATGGTACTGGCCTCTAAGATGTCATTTTTTGGCCAAATTCTAAGGCAGCATTGCATGTAGTGTTTCTGATCAAAGGAAATCCCAGAATGCACTGTGACACGCTCAGTGGGGGATGAGAGAAATCTTTCAGAGAGAAAAATTCATCCAATACCAAAAAGTATATAGATTCAGCCTGTTCGCACACAAATGTGTCTCTAATGCACACATTGTTTTATTGTGCAATTTATACGAAAATGAGTTTTTACATGAGTTTGCATATGCAGTCCATTTGCGTGTAATACACACACCCCACACCACTAATTCTACCCAAATGTATAATACACGCACACACACACACACCCCACACCACTAATTCTACCCAAATGTATAATACACACACACACACACCCCACACCACTACTAAACCTACCCTAACCAACCCATGTGTATCTCATTTTCAAGTATAAATTGCACGATGAACACACTGCATGCTATAGAGACGCATTTAGTGTGATCGGGTTGATGGATTAAACAGTTTTTTACCCAATATTTCTGTGCAGTATGTATTTAAGTATTGCATATCTTTGCAGAATGCCAACTCTATTGTATGAATTATGAGTTTCCCCTTCGTTCATGTGAGGAGCACTGATTTGGAGTGTCCTACATAGCCAGATGTTTTCTGTGCTTTACAAATAATATATTCCATCAGGTTTCATTTAATTTGTGATGCTTCCTTTCAAAGAAGCTCATGTAGGCAATGGACAACGAAGCAGCTTACTAGAGCCGCGTTTCCACCCAAATTACCAAGAACAATTTGTCCGAGGAACTTTTTTCCACCAGACCTGTTGCTGTCTGCGTTTCCATCGTGGTCTAAAGTACTGTGAAGATTAGGCAAACCTTGTCGTCCATTGGTCGAATTTGGTAAACTCCATTGTTGATTGGAATTACTGCATGCACCACAACAGACTTTTAAAAATGGTGGTTGAAATAAAACGCTGCGTGTAGTCAACCCATCAAAATGCTGCATGGACTCGACCAATCAGCATGCTCAGCACGAAAGGACCAGAACTTTGAAAAAGTACTACCTAGAAAGCAGGGACTTTCTGAAGGGAACTTCATTTAGGTCCTGGTCCACCCCAGACTCCCTTTAGTTCCTGGAGAAAGATCCAGCTTTGGAATTAGAACTGTCCTTTTTTTAAAAAAATAAAGTGTCAAAGGTAAACAAAAAAACTTCTTAATGGCAAAGTGGTATCGGTTTTAATGGTGGTAACAAAATCCTGTTTCTTTGTCAGTACACCTAAAAGCTTACTGGGCAAGCAGACCTTCGTGATACCTTAGAGTTCACAGAAAGAGTAAATTCTAGTTATACTTTGTACATTCAAGTTTATTTTTTATTTTAGATGATCTCAAATGTTGATCTCTATAAACTTTAGTAAGGACGGAGGAATATGATTTTTGACTGTTAAGTCAAGCCCATGAGAGACTCTCTAGCCAGCAGCCACTAACATTAGCTCATAATGCCTCTATTAAGGTGCCAAAAACTTCCCTAAAAATCCTTCTGGACGCGTGTTGAGCTGCACGGAGGAACTCGAGGTTATATTTGTATACTGTTAGATCCATTAAACCGCTGTTGGTGCAACCAGTTTGCCGATTTTTACCTACAGGACTGTTGTGTCAGTTATACTGAATTGTTTGGGTGATTGTCACACGTAAATACACACAACACTGAGGTCAGAGGTCAATCCTTCAATGTTCAGGGATGCTTTTGGATGTGTCTGTGATGTTATCTCAGCTGTTTCTGTCCTGGTGTTCTTGTTTTACTGTAGTGTTTTTAATCTTTCTAGAGACATCCCTGTGTGCTGCAAATGATTTTCTAATCCCACATACCTCTGCTGATGATCCGGACAGCCAGAATTGTTTTTGTTTTTTTTGCTGTTGAAAAATAGACATGAATTCAGAACTGCATCTTAAAATGCACCACAAGTTCAATCAGTGTTGTGTTAAAGTGATTTCTTTTTTAAGCAATATGATTGCTCCAGTGGGGTTACACAGACAAACATACACGCTAACATCGATATTAAACAGACTCAAAGTCATTGCACAGACAATCAATGTGTCCACAGAGAATGTCATGGCTCGTTTCCACTGAGCGGTACGGTACGGTACGGTTCGGGTCGGTAAACCCTGATCCGGCTTGCGTTTCCACTGCCAATAGTACCCTTACTCGATAGGCGTGGTGTTTGCCAGAAAGAAACGATCAACGTCATTTTTGCGCGAAGAAAGGGACATCGTAAACAACAATGGATGACACAGCAGATCGTGTTCCAGGTGTATTTTTTGGTGTAAACTTTACTCATTTTAAATGGTTAACTTTTAAGGAATTATTTGATTAATTATTTCTCAATTCTAATTTGTTCAAGTTAATTAATAATATTGCTTGGCACAATTTTATTGATTAGATAAAGCGTATTCATTTTTACAGTGTACCCCAACGGAAGGGGACCCAAAGAGTGGTACGGTAAGGTTCGGCTTTTTGGTACCATTCACAACTTTTGACAGTGGAAACGCAAATAATTGCGTCCCGTACCGAACCGCTCAGTGGATACGAGCCATTGTAGAATGATGTAGAGGGAAGTGAAGGACGCTGCCAGGGTCCAAAATCAACGTATACACCACACTTGCCAGTGGAGGGTCAGCTGACTGTTCTCTCTCAGCTCCACACCGACTCAGTTGCGTTTGCTTAAGCAGACAAGCTTGACTGAATGCCCCATACGGACATGCCCAAACTAAAAATGTATTTTAAAAAAATTACACTTTTCCCAAATCTATTTTTGTGGCACAAAAGTCACTCAATTTGTGAATCTTTAATAGTTTAAAACGTATTTTAATCACTCACACGTGAAATTCAGACATTTTTTTTACAGTATGATTCAAACCATGTTGTTGCTAATTATGTTAATAGAGATTCCTAATGTGACGTCACCAGGGACGTATTGCCAGTGGTGAACGCAAAGCATTTTGGGAATCTGCGGCACGATCAGACGGTGCCAGACTCAATTGCATACAGGGAAGAACGCAGTGTACAAGATGCCGTCTACCTGCTGTGTTGTAAACCGTAATAGCCGTTCTCACGATAGAATGGGCTTAAAGCTTAATTAACCCTAAATGTAATTGATTTCCGTATATAAAATAAGACTACCATTAAAAACACATTTGATTTTCTATTTTAATCCATATGTAACTCTACTCTTTGGACAAGAAATGAAAACCAATGCTATATGATTAATGTCCACAAGATGGAACCGCACAGACTGTTTTTAACGGGGTTGGATAAATATGTTTTGCTTTTATAACTGTGTTTGGTTGGGTCACCGTTGTAGGTTACAGTTTGACAAGAGTTTAAATGTTCTGTTAAATGTAAAGAGTTTAAATCTTTTATTGCGAGTGTACACAAATATAAGTAAAGACTTTGCAGTTCTCTTTGAAATGAATGATGTCCTGTATGAACAAAATGACGAAGTATGTTTTTACGTTTCCACTGTTCGACGCCCGCGTCCGCCCGTTAGTGTATGCACTAACATTTAATATCCTGTAGTTGTATACGGGTGCTTAGGAAATTGGGCAACAGGTTGACGTCTCCTGGCCAGTCACTAATGCTCATAAGGATCCAGTCCTTTATTTTCTCCTCATATCCCGTCTTTGCATTAGGATTTAGCTTTAGGCAGCATGGTCCGACAATGTTATCTTTAGCCCACTGCATTTTGTAGGATTTTTTTTTTCATGCCAGAAAGCAATCCTGCTATGCCAGCCCATTTAAACTGGCCAAAAATTCCCATAATTCTTTGCATTCTGATGACGTTGCCGCCCAGTTAGCGATCTCTATAACCACCTGGCAAGTAAACTCTTATGCACTTACTAAAGCCTTTTTTTCGGTGCCGCCACTTTGTGTGTTAATTTTGGACCCTAGCTATAGATCAGCACATGCATGCACAGACAACCTGGGAGTGTGCAAGTAAATAAAAAAATATACATAAACACCAAGCACTACAAAAAATAAAGATATTTATGGTGTAAAGGAAAGGCTGTATTTTTTCAGACTGCAGATATTTTTTACATGTTATATGCACAATATTACAATTTTTCCAGTTTTAAACACAAGAAAACAAAAGTCTTTTCTCAAAAAACTTTCACCATTCTCCAACATGAACCCCAAGTCCTGTTTTTTAACAATCCTGGTTCACTGGTGACGTCTCCTAATTGTGCATTTTATCATTCTAAATGAATTGGTTAACTGTGTTAATGACAACTAATCAATACTTGTAACTAATAATAATAACAAATCCAGCACAACAATCACCAAAAAAACGATTCTTAGTGGGTGTCGGGATGAACCCTAAAGCCCATAGTCAAAGAAACTGACCAGATCTCATCACGCTGAAAGAAATAGACCCCTAGAAACAATCGCAGTACATGTACTTCTGTTTCTGTGTCTCAGGTTACATTTACCTG